CCTGGGCCGCTGCAGCAAGGACCCACTGAGCTATCCGGGCACCCTACAGGTTACTATTTTAATCAATGAGCACCTGCTTCTGTCTGACAGCCAAACTACTTATATGTATAAATGGATTTAGATCTTGTATACTTCACCTCTTTTGGCTGTAATTACTAATGGGCTCAGGTCTAGTAATTTTAGTGTTGAGCAGGGTAATGGCATGACCGCCACATGAGCCCGCTGTTGTTTGCCTTGGCTATGGAACCCCTCGCTGCAATCATAAGACAAGATGTACGCATAGAAAGAATGACAGCATAAAGTCTTACTATATGCTGATGACATTTTGATTTATCTAGTTTCCCCGAGACAATAAATACACTTTATAATAAGGGTACATTAATTAACATTAGTTAATGGAGTAATAAGCATTAACTAACAGTTAATTAACAATTAACTAATGTTTCTAGTAATAATTTAATAATAGTGTTCACGTTAAATAAGGTTTTATATTATTTTAAATTGTTTATAAAGAACCTATTAACATGAGTTAATATTGGGGTAAGAATTAACTGTTAACATTTATTAAGGGCTTACATGTTAATTAACTAATATTAGTATAGTGTTGATAAAGATGGTGATTAACATATGTTATGGCTGTCCAGTTATATTTCACAGAAGACATGATAATAACTGTTTACCTGAATGATCAACGTGTTTAAATCATACTTTGATACCTGCGATTAATGCTCAGCCAAAGACATTGTGTAAGCTGTTGATTATCTACATGTCACATGCCGTACCTACAGGTCTGACATGGGTGACACAGTTCAGGAAGTTTGTTCCAGTTTGTCAGAGGTGCATCATAGTAGGTGCAAAACTAACACGGTTGGTTTAAGCTAATAATTAGCCATTGTTTAGATTGAAGGTAATCAGCTGGGAATTTAACTTGGAAAATATTTGCATTGCATAACATATCATAAATTAATCAGCATCATAGATACAATGTTATGTGACATTATCTATCAATATTAGCTAGGAAAGCTTAACATCATGAGCCACATGGCCCTCAGTATCAGAAATAGCCACAGAGAGTGGAGAAGCGGCAGGTCTCTCATCGTGCATGAAAGATGAAGGGGCTCACCGAGACTGCTTATGTATATGGCCCATAATTTTGTACTACACCCCTGTCCATCACTGCTGAATTACATACATAATACATTTTATCTGTATAAAAACTTACTGATCTTAAATGCGGCCTTGCTTGTGGACTTTTTTCTAGAACTTGCCTGAATTAGACAGCTTAATAACTGAAGGCAGAGGCTATACTACAATGAATGGAAAATCTCAGCTGCAGCTATAGTACGTGCTGACAGGGTTTGAAATCTGTTTCTGCACATGAATATACATATGCTTACTCACTATACCCACAGTCACGAACACCATGTCCTTTTCTGTTAACCTCTCCCTCTTTAACCTTCCTAACACACACACACACACACACACACCATCCAACCCACCCTGTTTAGTTCCATTCTTATTCTTCATCTCTATTTTTGGGCGCAAGATAGAGCAGCTGGTTTAGAAACACATACACACACTGGCAGTATACAGTGGCATTAAGTTTACAGCTATTGTTAAAGACACAAAGTCTGATGGTGCTGTTAACATTATATATATATAGATATATATATATACACACACACACCGATCACATTTACCCACAAGCTCTCACGCCACCTCTCAAGGATGAGACTGTCAATACACAACACACAAGCAAGCACCTCTAAAAGTCAGCATCCATTTTCAATGTGCAGGTTTGTACAGCATGTGTGTGCCGGGATAGAAGGTGCATGTGTGGGTGAGTGATTATCAATAATCAATAATCAATAGAGGAAATCATTCAAGACTTCCCCCCCCTAGACTGGTTTAAAGTACTGCATGAACCTCTCCTCTTCTCCCACTGCCATCCTCCCATCCATCTCCCTTTCCGTTCACTCTTTCATCCTTATGATCTCTATCCATTTTTCACAACAACCAGCGGGCTTCTTTCCACCTCAATTATCTAAGTGAGGGCTTGAACTGTCTGATGGAACTCCAGTATCTGTTGGAGTCAAACCAATCTGCAACCATAAAAGCAGGAAAAAAAAAAATATAGAACTTGGCACTCTGTATTTAAAATGAAATTTGATCAGGGTTTGCTGAAGCATACTTTACTTAACAATCTCTGGATTCAACCTCTTTTTAAAAATGTACAACCCTGATGGGAGACCATGAGGCACAAAGATATTTGACATACTATTCTTCCTCAACTCTGACTTCTCGCTCTTAACTAGATTTCTTAATGAATATAGATCGAGATGGCAAACAGAATGGCTGCCTTCCTCGTGTTTAAAGCTGTCCATCAATTCTTATTGATAGACAATTCTGCCTGATTGAGATGAGGACGGTTTTGGTTGTAGATTAAGCACCTAAATCAGGCTTTTCATTATCGCCTTTCCTTTCTTCTCTCCTTCCACAGCCTTTCATTTCTCGCCCAGCCGCTTCTCTCTTCCGATCACACTCCCCCAGTTTGACGCCCACTGGAAGAGCACAGGAGCAGAGGGAGAGAGAAAGTGAGGGGACAAATGAAAGAAAGAAAGAAAAAAGAAAGCAGGATAAAGAGACAGGCGTGGAGTTGAAATAAAAAAGAGACAGACAGAGGAAGAGAGCATTAAAAGCGTCCGCCGTCTCCTTCAGGGAGGAGAATAGGTCCACAGAAAAGAAGAAAGGGGACGAGGAGGGATTGAGAGAGAGAAAAATTCAATCCATGAATTTTCATTAATAAAAAGACGTGGCCTCTAAGACTGTAAGTAATGAGTGGGAGACGGAGGCAAAGAGACAGCCAGCTAAACAGAACGGTCTGATTTTTCTAGCAATGACATTAACAGAGATAGACCAAGTATCAACAGAGGAACAGAGAAGGGGGGAGATAGAGACACACCCAGCTGGCCTATTCTAGTAGGTTACCTATAAATCTGTGCTCTCACATGATCCCATATCCTTCTTCACATCATCAGTGATCCATATATGACAAGTTGCATAACTGGAAGTAATGTTTCCACCTTATTAGCTAAAGAAAACCAACCCACTGTGACATGACAGAAAGGAAGAAGGGATGGAACAAGGACAGAAGTATCTTTGCATCAGGAAGGTGAGCGCAACATGCTCCACTGGGACCCTGTGGCACACACACACACCCAAAATAAACAGACAACGGCAGCCAGGGGCAGATTCAGCTTATTACACTCCCCATTACACAGACAAATGAGATCCTGGCCTCCTACTGATAATCTGCCCCCCCATGTCCTCTGCATTGTTGTATTACATCACCCAGAAGCAGCAACTGTCAAGCCTGGTCGTTACAGTACACAAACCTCCAACAACATGGGCATGGTGCTCATGAATTTGGTGATTGACGGATGAAAGCTAATTCTAATTATCTGGCCAATGACCCATCCAAAACAGCCAAAGTTTGGGCGTCCTGCTGACCTGGGGGTTGAGGTGTACCCAAAATGCTTAAGTGCCAAAGTTAGCGCCAGTGCACAATGCTACAACCATCCTGACAGCTTGGTGTGACATTTGTGGACTCACATAAATGTTTTAGACTGAGGCTACATTAAAGGGGGACTGCCAAGTTATTATTGCACTTCCATAAAGTTGGGGGACTTGGGGGAATGGTCAAACTCTTGGGGGAATGGTCAAACTCATAGCAGTAGAGGCTAAGATCTGCCAACTCTTAGTCCCTAGTAAGAGTCAAACTTCAATAACACTTCCCATAATGCAACTTGATAGCTTCTTTCATTAGACACTCCCTGTTTGGGACAATTCCTGCCTCTATGGCCTGATGAACAACAAACTCTCAGTTTGTTTTAAAGGCTTTTTTCTATAAATCTGTGAGCTATAATAACCCTGATGACATCACTATGACGTCATCATGGTAATTCTTTCCTCCAGAGCCGCAGAACACATTATACAACTTGTACTAACCGCGACTAGTAAACAGATCTCTATGTGTAAAATCAGTGGAGTGTCTATTAGAGTATCAGTGGTTTGTCCCCTCACCTTGTTGTACACGCCCCACGACAGCTCTGTCTCAATCACCATGACGACGATGCCAAACATCCCGAAGATGAGAGCATAGTCACTCAGCCTCTTTCTCTTCTCAAACAGCGCCCTGCGATGCCCCAATTTATAGCCAATGTTTTGGTTCTTCCGTTTAGGGGCCTTGGAGGTGCTGCCCCTGGCCCCTGTGCCCACTGCCCCGACCCCTCCTTGCCTGCTGCCCCTCCCCGGCTGCGCCCGCCTGCTCTCCACCAGCGCGTGGTTCTGGTGGTAGATAGACATCTGGTTGGATGTGGAGTCAGTGATGTCATACCCTCCTCTGGGGTATGGCGAGTCTTCTTTGGATGAAATCACGATCTCTGGGGGGGTCTGAATTAGGGGTTGATTGGCAGAGGACTGGGCCACCAAATAGGTAGGAGGGGCTTCTCGCTGTCGGTCATGCCCACCAGCAGCCGTTGCCCCAGCAACAGCTGAAACACCGCCCTCTTTGGTTTCACTGCTGCTGTCTGATTCGATGAGGTTTCTGCGGGAGGCGCTGAGGCGGCTCAGGGGCTTCATGACCCCGCCTGTGTACTTACAAGAGCTCATGGCGATCTCCGTGAAGGGGTTACTGTCCCTACGGTGGACCAGAGGACTGGCCTGACGGTGTTTGCAGCCCCTCTCTCTTTCCCTGTCCCTGTCACGCTCCCGATCCATGGAGGGCGAGTGGGAGGAGTAAAAGAGGGCGTTGTAGACCGGGGAGTTGTCCCCGCTCAGGCTGTGCTGTGAGCCCAGGCAGGAGGAGAGCGGGGTGCTGGTGGGGTGCAGGGCGTTGGGAATGGGTGGGGGCATAGGCTGGGCTCCAGAGGATGACAGGGGCAACTTGGGGAGCGATGCTGGAGGCAAGTTGGGCGTGGCAGGGGACGGGGACGGGGTGCTGCCATTTAGACGGTCGAGGCTTGATCCTCCCATGTGGTTGGAGTGGTTTGATCCTGGCTGGTTGCCAGTGGTGGAGGGATGGGATATACTACCCAGTGGAAGGAGGAAGCGCTGGTCCTCATCCTCGCTCCCTCCTAGCAGAGCCAAGCTCAGAGAGGGGGGAGGCTCCATGGTCACGGCTGTGGCCACGCACCTGTCTGCAGACAAACACAAAAACAGAGAAGAGAAGAACTGTAAAGAAAGACACAGCAGAAAAATGACAGAGGGTAGTGACTATTTATCATGACGGTACTAATGAAGACAGGACAGACAGCGAGAGAGTGGCTGGAAGGAGGAGTGGGGGAGCTTTGTGATGGATAACGGTTAGTTAAAAGAAATGAAGGAAAAAGACTGAACTCCAAAAGCTGAAGATGTGTGACAAAGAGGGGCAGCAGAGTGAAGAAAAGTAGCCATAATTGGGGAATATGTTCTTCCTTGAGTCGCATTTGAGTCAGCTGCCCAGTCAGCCCCTCTCAGCGGTCTCTCTCTCTCGCTCTCTGTTTCCCAGTGTCCTCTCCTTCTCTCACATCCCACAATGCTCCCAGCAATCTAAGCCATAAAATGTCATCTGTGTTACATTGTTGTTAGCCAGGAGGATGGTGCAAATCCTCCATGGAAATTAGATCAGGCTCAGAGACTACAGGATAATAATTCCACATCAGTCAATTCTGGTAGCAAGACAGGTAGTGCTGTTACTGTGTGTATGCTTCAGTTAGGCACAAGTTGTCTGCATTTAGTTGCATTTGATTGATCCAAAAACAATAACCTACTTTCAGTATGATATAACCAGACACCTTCACGGCCCCCTCCTCCCTGTCTGTTTCTCTACCTACCTCCTACCTCTTCTCTCTCAGTCCCTGTCCCCCAGGTTAGTTGTGTTGAATCACTGGCTGGATGAAAATAGACCACCACACTTTTTCTTTTTCATGTTGTCACGGCCATCCCATCATCTTTTCGCTTCGCCTCCTTTCATATAGGTCCCTCCACAGGTCCTCGCTCGTCTCTAGAAATTGTGCGTCGCCTCCCACAGATGCTGCCTTCGTCTCCGCTCACTTGATGTGATCAGTTTGTTTCTCTCTCTATCATCGGCGATGATCTCTCGACGGTACCCATTTCGATCCCCCGTCAGTGACAGTCGACTCGAGGTGAAGAGGAATAATCCATGGTGACTGGATTAAATCGGTCAACCTGTGGCTGCACGTCAAAAAACGTGCAGCCACACAAACCGGCAAAACAGCCGAAAAAAAAAAAAACGCACAAAAAAAGGCAAAGCTGGACGTCAAGTAACAGTCCTCAGATGAGCAGTGAAGCCTGAGATTTAATATGCGACTCCACCGACTTCCACTCAATCTACAGCTCACTGTCTCCCCGGATCTGTCTCTCACTCTCTCCTCCAACTTCTCTCCCTCTTTCTCCGCCTCCAGTCCTGCCGTTCATTCCCATTGGACGGAATCAGAGCGGCGAAATAAGCGCTGAGAACAGGTGGCAGGATTTGTAAGATGCCTAACAAATGTCTAATTTAATGTACCCAGGTTATTTGGAGGGGTTGTTATTAATTTTTTTACTGTAGCCTCTGAAAACAACACATGTGTTACTGCCTTTATACAATAAAGACTATGTGGCCTATCTGGTCGCTCATGGCACCTGTTACGCCCGTAAAAAGACGCTGGGACTGGCGAATCAATGGCACACAGGAATTCATTGAATAGTATTAAAACAAGTGAATAAATTTGTTAAAAAACTTTGATGGACCCAAAAAAATAAATAAAATAATGCAACACATGGCGTGGAGGAGGGTGCGGAAGCAGGATCGGTGAGTCTGTGCGCCTTCAGCTGAATACATGGATGAAAAGGACCTGCACACTTCTCTGTTTTGAGATTAAATTGGGTAATTAAGAAAACCCCCTTGGAGAACTGAGCTCATACTATAATAAGATGTTATAATTTATTAGCCTCAGTACTTACTTTTCTTATCTGGGCGGCGGGCTGCTGCATACAATTACCCTAGCAGGGATAAATAAAGTTGTATTGAATTGAATATTAGTTGAATAATTAGGCTAAAGGACTAAAGGAAAACAATTAACAAAGACAATTCGATGCATAATTTACAGGAGATGTAAGCATGTTTTTCGCCAGGGATTCTCGGATTGCTTTCCTAGCAGACTAATCAATTTATTCTAACTCTACAGAGTCTATACAGCATAATCCTACATAATTAGACTATTATACCTGGCCTAATCGGTTTAATATTATGGTTCTCTGTGTGCGATATGTGCTCCCCTAATCGGATGAGCGCAGACGCGGAATTGTGTGGGAGCGGATTAGACGGTTCCCTTATAAAAGGTCAGCCTATCCTGCGATTATGCAAACTGACAGACATCAATAAAGCAAACGATGTCGTGTGCGGGATGATTATATAGTATTTATACAACACCATCCATATGCCAACACCTCACTCAGACAGTCAGTGTGGAGGGAAGACAGACAGTGGTCTATTAATGCCCTCCTCCCATATGTTTTAATCTACTGTCAATTTTAATATTTATTTGTGTTAGTTTTGGTCGTATTTTACTCTCTAAATACTTGTCTCTTTGAATTTGACAGCAGATTATTTCATCCGTTTCTTTCTCATGAGGGCCCTGGGCTGATTCGTGATGGGTCAGTGATGGAGAGTGGTTGGTTAAACAAGCGGGAAATTCCTCTTGGACATGCCTGGGGAAAGGTCAAAGGTCAGGATCTCCACCATTACAAATCAAAGCCATATACTGAGGACATAAGAATAAGAAATAATTAAAGATAGAAGTAACCCTAAAAATATATTTGGGAGTGTATATTTTTTAGGATTAGTAGGATTAGGACAGGGGTTAAGACTCAGGGTTTAGTTAAGGTAAAGGTGAGGCATGTAATTTTGATGATTAATGTTAGGATGAAAGAATGTTGACTGGAAATTGATAGAATATTAATCAGCACCCATTTTGATAATCAAGTCATCATTCATGCCACTTTTCAAGCAAACATTTTCTGGTTCTGACTAAATTGTGAGGATGTGCCATTTGTCTATGTTTTCATCTCATTGCAAAATAAAATAGATATCTTTAAGTTTTTGAACTGTTAGTCAGACAAAACAAGATATTTAAAGATGTCACCTTGGACTTTACGACAGAATTATTATTACAATTTCCTGATGGTGATTGTTGGAACAGTGGAAAAGACTAACAAAGGCGGTTTTGGTGAGTTTTATTTTGTTTCTTTACGAGTTGAACGAAGTGTGTTTTACGATGATCTGAAAGGTAAAATTATTGTTTTTGTCAGTGGAGCCTGGTGGGCCGTATCGCCCATTTGTTGTAGTCTGAGGTACGGGTGCTTTAGTGTGACATTTAGTGGCAGTGAATGTTATATAGAGAACCTTTAAAAACACAACAAAATGTGTGTGTGCTTGTGGAGGGTTAGCTTATGTGGTTTTAAACTCACCTGCACAGTTATAGCAGCCTTCCCCCGTTATTGTATTGTTTCTTATCATCTGCCCAATTAAAAGACTCAACTAAATGTGTGTAAAAGCGGGGCTAAACTTTAATTTAATGTTCTTGCAGCTGCTCTGCCAATAAAACACAGAAGAGAGAGTTTTGACAAACACAATGCAAATACAATGAAGCACAGAAAATCGTGGAAAAAAAGGGCTGCCAGAGGCCCAGGGGCACATTACGTCTGACAGAAAATAGGAATGGTGGCAGACCACACTGTGTGTCTTTCACAAGTCTTAATATTGTCGGCAGAGGTTAGGGGGCAGCAGAGAAGGATGGAGAGTTTGGAGCAATCAAAGCAGGGGGGAGTGACAGAGAGGAAGAATGATGGACCCATTGAATGAAAAGGTTAGTCCACAGTCCTGCCCTGTAGCATACGTCAGATGTATGGTGTGAAAAATATGTGAACGAGAAAGTGAATAATGGAATACAAAGAGGAATAATAAAGTGGGATGGCAGTTGCCATGCCAACGCTGTAGTATACAGAGGAGTTCTCTCTCCACCTGATCTGTCTCTCTTTCTCTTCTCCCTCCGAGTTTAAAGCCACATAAAAGCTCGACTACAGGAAATGATACTGTATAAATCACACAACACTTTTAAGTGACACAACATGTGGGTGGAGGAGAGAGGAAATAGAGGAAGAGAGTAATGTGCATTGGTTGGGGGGAAAAAAGGGAGATGTAGAGGAAATGTGAGAATTTGGAGAAGGAGGCTCATGGAGGGGAGAGAAGGGGTGAAGGATTGATTATATTCTGACCAAAAGGACAAAAGACCCTCCCACACAGACTCATAGGCTTTTTCTTCAATTCTTCAATTCAGTATTTCTTTTAAACTGCATCTGCTATTAAATATTTTTCTAATGTTAAAATCTACAATGTTTATGGGTTATTTTTTTCTTCCTTTTTTCCTTAATACCACGAGGGTCCTTTACTTAAGGTACTTAAAGGTGGATTTATGTGGAATCTAGCTTTGTAATTGCAGATTGCTACTCACTCGAGAGAAACTACAGAAACACAAACGGCGCTATGGTATCTAGAGCCAGAGTTTCGTTTGTCTGTTCTGGGCTACTGTAGAAACATGGCGGTTTAACATGGCATCTCCATGGAAGGTAAGGTACCAAAAATATAACAATTCCTTAATTCAGGTAAATATACATGAATGAAAACATACCTTTGAATATTATATTTCTGCCAAGAGATCCTCCTAAATGTTAAATACTGGACCTTTAAAAGGCATAATTTGATATTTTGGGAAATATAATGATTCCCCTCCTTGCCGAATATTGATTCCACTCTCATGGCTGGACGTCAAATATGAAGCTTCAGCCAGCAGCCAGTTAACTTAGCTTAATACAAAGACTGGAAACAAAGGGAGACAGCTATCATGGCTCTGTCTGAGGGTAACAAAATCTGCCTACCTTGAAATAGTCACATAACCCCCCATAAAATGTATGGATTAAACAAATGAAATATAAAACATTAATTAGTGAGCTTCAGAGATGTTGGTGGATGGCTTTTGTTACCACTGGACATCAATTACATATTGAATAATGCACTGAATAATATAACCACACTCTGACAAAACTGCAAAGTCAGCCAATGTAGAGAAGGAAATGGAGAAGCAGATT